AAATAAATAAGATAAATATCTATGAAGGGACTGCAGATATTTATCATATTTATAGATATTCCATCATATCCAGTTGCATTAGATTTTATGGTAGATAAATGTTTTTTCATTTGGTTTACGGATATGAATTCAAATTTGAAAGCACGTTCAGGATTTTCTAATTTGGGAAACTTGTTATTATCATAGAATTTCAAGAGGTCATCATCAATATCATCATTTATAAAAACAGAACTGAAATAGTCATTTATTTCTTCAGGATCTTGTAAAGAAACAGGCAATTCGGTATTGTATTTCTTATTATTAATTGACTTCAGACCTTTCCATAATTGTTTGGAGTCTCGAGTTCTAAATAAATTGTCATAATATGAGCGTTTTTCACGTCGAATAGATGACAAGGTGAAATTCCTCAAATCTTTATAGTTAATCCAATCTATAGGCAATTTTGATTTCTTAAATTTACTCAGAGCTTTATCTCTTTCCTTCATCATCATTTTGATAGGATATGTTAGCCAAGGAGCAGAAGGTTTCGTCATACGAGCCGCCTTAAGTGGTGCATGTTCATTGAAAATAGATAGAATTAACCCAGTGAAAAATTCCACCTTATCATCTATATCATCTATTGCAAAAATATCTCTGAATGCTGCGTTTTCCAAGTCTACACAAAACTTGTTATATTCAAAATTTTTGAAATCTCGGTATATATGAATTTTTGGCCGTTGTTTAGGAGACTCCAGATGCAGTTCAACAAATACTAAAGAATGATCAGATACAATGCTCGCATTCTTAACACCAGAATTTTTCACAAATTTCGGCGCAGTTATGAAAATTAGATCTAATAAAGTCATAGATTGTTGATAAATTCTGGTTGGTTCATTAATCAGTTGAGAGAAACTGTACCCATCGAAATATTCATTTAAAATATTGTTTGACAATAAGTTTACATTCATATCACCAAAACAAATAATTTCATCGACAGTAGGCACTATTTGCGATAAAGAATCATCTAAAGAATCGATAAATGAGGTTAAATCACCTTTTGGTGGCCGATATGTATTTCCAATAGCAAATGAAAGGTTTTTTATCTTGATTTTTATCCAAATTTGTTCACAATTTCCATCAGTACTGTTATTCAACAGACTTGATGATATATTCGTCTTAACATAAATACCTATTCCTCCACCACGAGCTGGTCTGTCCAATCGGAAGAAGACGTATCCCGGAATTGAAACGTCAATGTCATCTACTACATCGCTTAGCCATGTTTCAGAGACACCCACTATATCATAACCATCAATAAGACTCAAAACATCTGCAAAATGTGGTAGAAGTGAACGAACATTTAAATGACAAATTTTTAGCCTATCCGTCATATCGATTTATTATGATTAACACATACACTAATGAAAAGTTCGAAGTTCGAAGGATCCCCCTGTATATATGAAAGTGAATATATTGAAGCCTTGGTTTTATTTCGTCAAATCAAAAAGTGTATGAAGAACAGCTGGAAGCGCGATGCCTCATAAATAAATTAACAAGCGAGATTAAGAACAAAAAAAAAAACACTGTTTTTCAGAATGCTATATCAACAGAAAGTAAATTCCAAGAAGAGTAATTCGATAATTCCACTTTTTATACTCAAATGAACAGTTGACGTATATATGATTATGTCACAGGATATATATATCATTAATGATAATGAAAAATATACCAATATCATGCAATGTTATGATATAAAAAAGAGAATGATTGACTGTTCCCAGAAAAATTAATTTCAGATGTAAAGATATACAAAACAAAAATAAAAAATATGAATATGATGAAATTCACCTATCCTTGTAACAAACTAAGTTGAAAAAAAATTATAATATATTATAATATAATATTATAAGTATGAGTAGATATTATATACTGCAAAAAAAATAAAAAATATGTAGATTATTTATAATCGAAATATAATTATTAGCACAATTCGAAATTCACGCTGATTCGGCATCAGTTTGACAAAAACAAAATTTATAGCACATTAACTTCATTGCAATTTTTGATAAAATGTTTTTCACCGTTATTTTTCAGGATACAAATTTTTCCGTTCTGTGACCATACTTTTGCTCTACCAAACTTTTCTCTGGCCATCATTAGTGCTTCATATCTGGATTTAGTTAGGTCCTCAGTCATAGTGATTTTTGTCCCCTTCAAGTTTTTCTTGTTATAAAATACAATGTTTCGTCCATGTATAGAGGTGAACTTCACTAGAATAGGCGCTGGCTTATCTCCATTACTATTCCGGCTTGTTTTCAGGCGATGACAGTGATCGACTTGAAAATCTGCCTCCTTTAATTTCAGACGATTAGCGAAAATACTTTTAACAACCATTAGAACATTTTCATTTGCATCCTGCTTCACACCATAGAGCCTTATGTTAGGAATTTTCAGTTGTTGCTCCATATCATCAACTTTAGTGAATAGTTTTTGATGTTCAGAAGATATTTCATCAACATGCGTACTCACAGTATTAACTTTTTGTTCCAGTTCTTCCATTTTATCGGCAAGTTTTGATATAACCAACCCAGCCATTTTATCAGCAAATGTGTTCATCAACTTTTCATCTCGTAAGCATTCACTTATGATTTGTTTGATATCTTGCCTTTGGTCCTTAGTAAAAACCATTTTGAGTTTGTTCAACGTATAAAGAACACGACAAAAACTTGTAAGGAAAATAGCAATGAATGTTAACAAGAAAACAGACAAAACGCCTCATATCAAATATTTTTCTGTAAAATCTGAATCTGTGTAGAAGTCCTCTAAGCTTTTTTGTCACGAATGCAGCATGATGATCCCATCTCAGATGACAATCAATGATTATACCTAGATATTTAGTTTTATTTTCCATCGATATAGCAATTGTTTTGTTATGAGAGATGATGAAATGTAATCTCTCAAATTCAGGCATCGTATTTACTGTGCTACAAAAGGGAACTATTACTGTTTTTTTGAAATTGACGCTGAGTAACATGGAATTGAACCAATTTATTACATTGATGAAATCATATTCCACTAGAGTTTTCAACTCTTCCCAAAAGGAATTTTTGTAAAAGATAACCGTATCGTCAGCAAAGCTGACAATTTCGCCTTGGATCTCGAGACTAAACAATTGATTGAGGTATATGTTAAAGAGAAGTGGACCTAGTACTGTACCCTGAGGTACCCTATATTTTACTATGTGTTCACTACTCAATGAATCTCCAATTCTCACCGACTGTTTCCTGTTCGACAAATAGCTTGATAGTAATTCAAATGCTTTACCTCGAATTCCAATATTCTCCAGTAGTCGTAGCAATTTTTCATGAGAAACAGTGTCGAACGCTTTTGCCAGATCAACGAAGATACATAAGGATCGATTACCTTCATCCATTGCTTGATATATTTTTGAAATTATGTGTGCCATTGCATCTTCGGTTGATCTGGCTTCTCTGAATCCATACTGGTTTTCGAACAAGATATTATATCTTTCAAGGTAGGGAGTTATTCTTTTTTTTATAATTTTTTCGAATATTTTTCCGATATTGGTTATTAGGGAAATAGGTCTATAGTTGATGAGATCTAGTTTATCACCACTTTTGAAAATTGGTTTTATATGGGCTTTTTACAGTGTTTCTGGAAATGTACCTGTAATGATTGATCTATTTACCATATACGCCAAGGGTTTCTTAATAAATTGAACATTGTCTAATAGAACTTCCGATCTCATATTATCATGTCCTGGTGTTTTACCTTTCTTTAAGGTCCCAATCACTTGTTCAATCTCGATCTCATTAGTTTCCTCTACAAAAATAGAATTGGGCATTCTCGGTACGTTATATATTATATCAGGATCAACCTCAATTTCATTCGCAAGTTTTTCACCTATATCACTATAATGTTTCACAAAAAGCTCGGCAATCTTTGAGTCTTCAGATATAATATTTCCTTGACTATTTTTAATCTGGTTTATTTCAGGTTCATCTAGAGTTTGACCATTCATATGTTTGAGTGTTCTCCACAATATATTAGGGCAATTTTTATTGGCTTCAATTTTTTTTTATAGAAATCAATTTTTGTTGTTTGTATGATGTCGTTCAATTTATTTCGATATTTTTTGTATTTTTGTAATAATTGTGTATTGGTGGGATCATGTTTTGCTTTCTTGAACAATTCGTCTCTTTTGTTTACTGATCTGACTAATCCATCTGAATTCCATTCACTTCTCCTAATTTCTCTTTTTTTGATCTTTTTTTTCCGTGGTTGCTGTGAGTATATGGTTTTGAAGTTTTGAAGTAAATAGATTAGTAGCTTTGTTTGGATCAGGCTCATTGTAGATTTCTGACCAGTTCTCATTTCGAAGGTTGGAATTCAGTATATTTTTATCGAGATATTTTCTGAAAGTTGATACTATAGTATCGAGAATCTTTGATTTCCTCCAGTATTCTCGATGACATCACTGTTTCACAGCAAGAAATAAGTTCGTTACACGTTGTTTTACTTATGTAAGTGGCGTTTGCTTTAGTGGTCTCAATGTGATGTTTAAGTTGCAAGTCTCCAGCGTCAATTCTAAACCTTAGAAGAGCTCTAAAGTTTCCCTCCTTACACACTATACTTTCACGATCATTTTCGTTTTTTAATAGACTACCATCATCTCTATGTCCCCGCAGAGGTATATTTTGCCTTCCATGAAATATGATTGTTTTTATTATAGGTACAAGACGGTCTCTGTTTTCTCTAATAATTTCCATTCTCTGTCTTGACAATTGATTTATGACCTCAAGCTCGCGGTTGTCTCGTGTCGCCAAAAATAATTTTGCATTTGTTGACGCTTCAACATGGTAGGTACTTGAGTTGAGAGTGGGTCTCAAGGTTACCATCTTTACCAGTAAGTTTGGCGAACTTTGTTAGCGGTTCAGTAACAAGTTTCTTGGCAATATTGGATTTTTTCCCCCAACCATTTTATTATTCACAAAAATTGATCAGTTGATGCAAAAAAGCCCCTGTTTAACTTGGGAGAACACCAGCCATGGATACTGTTCGAAGTGGTTATCGTGCACTTGTCTGCGTTCAACCCGTCCCCGCTTGTTGTGCTCGGAAGTAGGAAAGACATAACCTTTTTCAGGTTTCGTTGGAGCAGTGAGAAGCTTGTATTTTATATCGTCACTAATATTTCCGGTCGCTAATATATCCAAATAATTGCCAATATCCGTGGGATTGAAGGAATCAGTCGATGAACTTTGTTGTGGAAGTTTCGACGAAGTGCTGGGTTTTGTCTGCACATCTGGTAGTGTTTTTGCGGCTGAAAGATGACCGGAATTTTCAGATGTTTCTACTTTTCTTTTTCTCATTACATAACGGTCCATTTTATCATAGGTATTGTTGCGACGTAGCGTAACTAAATTAGATGTCAATTATTATTCTCGAATAAAGACTCCTTAGAGCAGCTTGTTGTACCTACACACACAATCACCCTGCGCGTATTACTATTATCACTCAGCTAGCACAACACTGACTGAAGTTCGTGGTAATCGCAGTTGTTCACTTTTTATTACCTACTTCCAATGATTTTAGCTTTCAAACTGACTAAAATACGATGAAGTGGAGGCGCGACGCGCGTACTACATAGCATAGGAAAGTACAACTACTCGATAACTCGACTCAGAGTCGTCTGACGAAAAGAACGAATAGCGTGCATCATCTGACTGGCGGGGGAGGCGCGCGGGCGACCCAAGGGGGGGCGCGCGCCCCCCATCTAAATCCGCCACTGGTTTGATCTGAGATGTTTTTGAATCTAGCTAGAATATTTTCAAGTTGTGATTATCTATTCAATTTCATATCATGAGTAAGAATCCATTTCAATTCATTGAATCAAAGTTTATTATCACCAAGAAAAACTTGGACCTCCATCTCATTGGATATTATATAACTTGAGAAAAGATTTGTAAAGTATTTACACCATTGGGATAAATAACATTTGCTTGCAAATCTAATTCCTAAAAATACAATTTATCATCAGTCTTATGGATTTGGAAGTATCAATTTTAACTTTCTCAACATATTCCCTAACAAACTGTTGATAGTTGTGGATGAGGTCTGATTTTTCAAACTGTTCTGTTATATTACTTCGAATATCTAAATATTTCTGACGTCTTTCATTTGTATCAGTTCTTGATGGTTTGGCTGGTATTGAAAAATATTTTGGTAAATTTGGAAAAATTTAAGGAACTGCTGTTTTGACTAACTTTGGTGCTCGTAACAAATTTTTTCCAATTGATCCATCTGGCAGAGGAAATGTATCATACCTGATGATATTTCCCAATATTACACCAATTAATAATTGAAAACTTCAACAAAACCTTCCATAAACTTCTTGTTTACTTCCTACACAATACACTTTGAATGGCCGACAGGTGCACTATAGATTGCAACGTTCGGTCGTTCGGACAATGTTGCCAAGTTTCTTCTTCATGGCTTGATAGTTGAAGACGGCTGTGTCCTTGTCCGTTGTCTGCTTTGGTGCTAGAGGCGCAACCGTCGACATCGGAACCACGGAACTTTGTGTGCTGCCTGTGAAGGTCACGGTCTACGCTTTCCGTGCATCGAAGAACGGTCGAAGTATGGTCAAAGTCCTCGACCGTCTCTCTCTGGCAGACGGGCGATGCCATTGGTCTCCCGGTTAGACTAGTCGGGTACTGTTCATGGTACTGTTGCTTGGAACTGCTGGCGCTGCCGCTTCCTATTCCTCGGCTGCCTTGTCAACTTTTGGACTGAGAGTTCTGAGGAGTCTGTGCTCTGTTCGGGATGATGACTTCGACAATTTCGACATACTTCTCTTCCTTTTGTATCGAGAGGTCAGATGATTGGCTCGGGGTTGTCAGGGCTAGTAATACTGTGGTAGTGCCACTACTTTCTTCTTCTGATGAGAATTTTGTACTGATGGAAGGAGACTATGGCGCCAACTCCAATGTTGAATGTGGAAATCCATGAAAATGTCCAGCGATTTGGAGAGAATGGACATAATAATTTGACACATTTTCAGTATTGGTCTTCGTTTCGATTTGATAGGAAACCAGGAAATATTGTTGATTTTTGGGATTCTTTAGAGATTCTTTGTAGATGGAGTGTGAATGTGGTAATAATCAATTGAATCGTATCAGCTTCTTCCGGTTCAGGAGATAATGACAGAGTGACACACAACTGAATCCGTTATTCCATCAATGTGTTATATATTCCATTGTCCCATCGGTGGCATCATAAATTCCATCAGAACAATAGGTGACGTCATGACGAAAATGCGCAATAATTCGTGCGGACTCTTCGATGGAAAAAAAATCGCACCTCAACCCATAATTATTATGTTGGTAGCTCGTCTGTCATTTCTTGTGAGGAAATCTGTTTCGTGTTCTGTACTTCTGTTTGTTCGATTCTGTGACCAAATCATATGACATATGACATAACATAACCACAGATTCATACCTGGTCACCAAAGAAACTCGAGAAAGGAGTCCAGAAGATAGCTGTCCCAAAGCTGGCTTGTGGTTTGGATAGGTTGAACTGTAGGACTGTCAAAAACATGTTAGAAGTCATATTTCAATTCACTGTAGTTCTATTTTGTTGTTGGAACCCTAGTGGAGAGCGAAACGAGAAATCGGTGCCATGCTACTCACACCAGACCTCACGTTGCAGGAAAAAGAACAGCTGTTCCTATATTCATCGGAACGAGCTTCCCCTTAATATGAGTGCCACTGCGCTCGAATTCGTAAAATTCGATCGACCGAAGCCAGGCGATGCATTTCCCAGCAACGAATGGCCTCTGAACAGCGTCGAAGCTTCGATAAAATAGAAGGAACGAACTGAAATGACGTAACAATATTCAGAATATCAATATTTGATCTATCTCCCATTAACAATTGGAGCATCATCAAATTCAATACTGTGTAGGATTTACAAACAAAATCTCCTTGTATTTCTCAAATAATATCACTATCAGTTGATCAATTCATAAAAACATGGATATTTGGCCTATCGTAAATCATCTTGAATACTCCACTGACCAACGGAAATATCATTATACAAGGTGAGTTGGAAGAATCGGAATGGTCAATTAACTCTGGAAACGCTCGACTGATTCGATAAAAAAATTGTACAGGGTGATTATTTCCGATTCAAAATCCAGTCATGATATTAGCAACGTAGCTAGATTCGCCGTTTTTTCTACAAACACCCCAACTTTTTTTATTTTGAATGAAACACCATATACCTACATTATTTTATTCTAAGATTTTTTGATAAATTCTAGATATATAGCATGTATACTGTCCTATACCTAATTTTAACAGTTTTTGAAATGTTCGGAATTTTATGTCAAAAGTTCTGTTTGCAGGTCTGAATAATATAAAAGCCTTTATTATTTGACTGAAGTAGGTATTCTCGTTGGAGTATTAGGTCTACTTGGGAGAATTGTATTGATATTTTCATGATAAATAAATACAGGGTGATGAAGAATCAGCATTGGATATTGAATTGAAAAAATCGCTGAAAGGTAATTTCTTCAACTCGAAACTCCCTATATTCATGATCTTATCTTATTCAGCATCAAGAATAAGGGTAGGTTCGTATGGGACTGTCTATCCCAGAAATTTGTAGCTTTTGATATATTGACAATTTAACATTTTTCCATTGTAAAATATAGCACTTCCAAAATAGAAAAATGTTAAATTGTCAATATTTTGGCTACCATGTTTTGTTGATAGTTGGCCACGTCTGCATAAACAAATAATCGAATACTAAATGTCACTTCTTCCTGTCATTTGACAGTCACTCATGGAGGTGAAGTATTCACCAATATTTCCACAGAGACACTGCGAGCACTGAAAGACAAATCATGGTGAAACCTTCTCATCAAAAACGTCGAATTATAATTCGGTTTCTCTTCATCTGGATATAAATCAGCATATATCTGTCTTATTGTCACGATATAAATACATGGTTAGTCTATCCATATCGATTTATAAGGGGTTTTCTTGACTCAATAATTTGCGAGAGGTAATATTCGAATATGCACTAATAGTTTAGAGGGGTTACTGAAAGTACGAGACTATACTCAAAGATAACAATATGTATTGAAGCATGAAACATTATGGGTAGCGATAACAAATATGAATACACAACAATGAATATAAAGACCTTATAACAACTCACATTATGTTGAACATTACGACGAGCTTTTGTCATTTATAAGATTCGCACGTTTCTCATGAGAGTTCCTTGGTCAGTTTTCATAATCCAATGTCAACGGATGATTTGATCAACTTTATGTTTATAAAATCCTCATGGTCCGAAGTTACTGATATACCGTATGTTCTACTCGTGTCAATATTATACATAATACTTAGTACCAATTCCAACTACAAAATAGCCACAATGCTCAAAGTGGATTGAAATGTTAAATAAATACAAAAAGCTCAAAATCATTTCCTGACATGTATTCATTTATTTGTTACAATTCTCATAAATAATGAACAAATTTTATCGATGTACTCCCAGACATTACAATTTGAAGTCTTTCAAGATACAGATTCACCATTATTTTTCTCCCAGTGCTTTCAGTGCCTTCATGACATTGTGGGTCTATATCCTTTCGCGAACACTCAACTATGGAAAAAAAAACTTCTGCATATAATTTAATCGCTCTGTGGCGTTATTTTTATAGATAATTGTTAAATGTTAAGAAAAAGTTTCATTTTTGTAGTATTTCATTATTTGTTCATGCCGTCGTGCCCAACTATCAACAAAACTTGGAAGCTATATAGAAATTATACAATAAAAAAATGTTAAATCATCAATATGTCAACAGCTACAAATTTTCGAAATAAATAATCTCACACGAACTCACCCTTATTTTTGATGCTGAATGAGATGAAATCATAGAAATAGGGAGTTTTCATTCGAAAAAACCGAGTTTCAGTTTTTTTGAACTCAATATTGAATGCTAGTTTTTCATCACCCTGTACTTATTTATCATCAGAATATCAACACAATCATCTGAAGTAGACCTCTTCCTACGAGAATAATATCTACCCTTATCAGATAATAAAGGCTTTTATATTGTAGAAAATGATAGTTGGTTGGGTTGGCCAACAGAATTTTCTACATAAAATTCCGAATATGTCAAAAACGGTTTGAACATCATATACAAATTATATCCAGAATTAATCGTAGAATCTAAAAATGGAATGATATATAATGTGTCCCATTTGAAAAACTTTGGCTTGTTTCTAGGAAAAACGGTGAATCTGACAACGTTGACAATATCTTCACTTGATTCTAAATCGTCAATGATCACCTTGTACAAAATTTTGGT